AACCCCCCCCCCCCCCCCCCCCCCGTCTCTTCCCCCCACAGAAAAACCAAAACAAAAGAACTCTTAACATACTTATGGATAAAATGTCAGTGTCCTGAGGACAAGGGTTAGGGATAAATAAAACCAAAAAAACCTGTCCACTATGGACATTAAGTGCTGAATATCCCACACTGGTTGTGAGCCTGAGCTATTTCAACTCTAGAAAACTGGGATCTAGGTTTGAGTTTGCAATCAAATGAACTGAATATGGCTTTTAACCTACAACAGTTGAATCCAAACATCTGCAGGTAGACAAGGTGTTTAGCTGGTCCAAAGCCTTTTTGAGAAGAGCAGCAAAGACTGGAGACAGATGGATTTAACAATAGTACAGGGGAGATCCTTATAAAACAATTTTACCCTAAGAATTTTGCTTTGTAGGAAACTAGATTCATTGTTTCAACCAGCACAAAATAAGCAGCAAAATAAATGAGCTGGTAATCATGGCTGGCTGGGGCATTTATAAAGTTTTTCTAACTTCCCAATCCACCCCCACATGCTGCTAATTAGGCTGATCTGCTATTCCTATGGGCTAGTCACTACAGATTCAGGAATTTTCTACTTGAAGACTGTTAATTGGTATTAAATATAGCTAAAAATAATGTAAAGCTCAAATTCACATATCATGCTTAAGTGGATGCTTCAGAAAAGCAAGAGTTAGTTGTATAGTGCACAAGGCTAAATATACAAATAACTACCATGTGACTGCTTACCAAGAATGGAGGAACTGTCAGAATAGGGATAACCAGAATTGTCTTGGATCTGCCCAGATAGTAAACCAACCGAAGGAATGTCTGGAGTTCCACCATTCAGAATCTAAATACAAATGGGAAATGTAAGGTTGTAGATTCCAATAGACATTAGAGCAGCATGTGTTACATATCAGGAAAGTCAGGGTCCCAAGATAAGGCTTAGGATAGAAACTCGTATACTAAAGCTACTTCAGTGACTGCACATCCCAATTCCTTCATATGGTGAATGCTGGCACAGCCTTCCTGCAGACCAGCCTTTTGTGTTAAATAGCCCCTGGCACATAAGTTACCTTACTGCTGCTAACAGACAACACTTGAACTATTCCAAGAGTGTCAGTGACTGGGAACTGTCCCAGTTCAGTGTCCACATATATGCTCCCAAGATTGCGAAGTAGAAGTCACCTTTTAGGCACTGCAGCACTGTCAAACTACCACCAGGGGGTGGTAGTGAATACCCTGCCTCCCAGTGGCAAGTGCTCCAGTTTCCCCAGTATTCCCTGAGCAGGAGATGAAGACCCAAACTGGCTGGACACCAAGGTAGAGGAAAATGATGTCATCAATTGCCCAGAATTGCAATTTCCTGATGTTCCTTCTCATGCCGAGTTCAATAAAGACCATTTCTGCACTATTACCAAAATCTCCATGGTGCCACCCTACCTGGGACTCCCAAATGTGTTGGGAAGGTAGGGGAAGAGAGCTGCCTAGGCCACAGCTTTTGGATCCCTGTGCGCTGGGCACTTGGGGCTGCTGGAGCTTTTGTGGGTTTTAAAGAGCACTTCCCACTTAACCACTCATCACTTTCTTCAACCCCTGCCAATGTACCAGGGTTTGGTATGCTGCAGGATGATTGGGGGTGGTGGAGAAAGGGTGGCTGGTTGCATTGGGGGAGGGGGGCTAGGTGCTAAAGGGGGCTGCACAAGGTCTTTGGCTGAGGCCACTGCCTTAAGACTTTCCCTAGGAGTGACCAAGTAGGAAGGTGCTTGGACCGCAGCTTCTGGCTTCCTGGGGAGTTGAGTATTTTGGGGGGCTGTGCAAAATCTCCACCACTTTTAAACAGCATTTTTCCCCTGAGCTGCTTATCCATTTCTTTCCATTCATGGCAACTGACCAGCGTTTGGGTCCTGGGCTGATTTGGGGTAGGCAGAGGGGTTGGGTTCCCCTATTTCTGGGTTTATGGGAAGCTGTTCAAGGCCTCCAAGTTAATTGCCAGGAATGGAATAAAATTCACCAGTGACTTAAGGTAGTGGTTCTCAACTGGGGGTCCACAGCCCATGGGCCCCCACCTGGCCCACAGGCTCCATCTTGCAGGCAGGAAGGCAAGGCTCTATGCTGCTGCTGTTCAGGCAAGTGAGGCTCCAGTGTCGAGCCCTGCCCACTGCATCCATGCACAGGTGGGCCATAGAGGTTTTATAGTATGCAGGGGGGAGGGGTGCTCAGGAACAAAAAGGTTGAGAACACCTGGCTTAGGGGCTGTTTAAAAGCTGCAGAGACCTTGGACAGGTTCCCCAGAATCCCAGAAGTAGGGGTATTCTACTCCCCTCCCCACGCAATTCAAATCAGGCTGGGCACAATGTTTGTAGGTGACATGCAGATGATATAGGTCAGGGGGCAGTACAGTTCTGGCTAGTTGTTATGCAGGGGTTGTGGTAGGGGAAGGGGTAGAGCAGAGCAGTGTGGGATGGCTGGAGGACGGACCAGGTACTAGTTACAGCAAGCATGGTGTCCACACGTAACCAGTTCAAGGACCATTTCAAAATAACACCGGATCATCCAGGTATACTTTTGAAATGTTCCAGGCAGTTTACACTGTTCTAAATCAGCTTCTACATCCAAACCCTTGGGGTTTAAGCAGCATTTAGTTATATGGAATTCACACTCAATTTGCAATCCAGGTAGCACTCCGGTGCTGTGCAATCAGGAGGAGGTAGGGTTCCGGCCCAAGGGTTATTCGGCATAGTTGTCTTGACACCATGTGCCAGGGTGGTGCTGTTTCTGTGCACTTAAATTCCAGTGGAAGGTACCTTCACTCCAGAGAATGCACCAGGTATGCTGAGAAGAAATGCCTGTGCCTTAAGGCAGCAAAGAATTGGCTAAAACTAAACTTAGGAGTTTGTACTTGAATCTTAAATTTTGTTTATACTGGAAGTCGCTTGTGAAGTGGGTCTGAGCACTTTTTAAGTAGCTGCAGAGCTTACTGTACTGTCACACGGCCTAACTTTTGCTGCCCAGGAACTCTTGCTTTCCAGGAATTAGCATTCTGATTTGTCACCAGCATGTAAAAATAGTGCACGATGGCAAGACAGCAGGGTCAAGTACTTTCACTAAGTGCTTGGTTTAGCAGTTTTACCATGAGAACCCCTTGGGGTTTTTTTGCAGTTTAGCTTAAAATCCTTTGGTGGCAAGTTAAACTTTGTAAGTCCTTGTAACAAGGTAAGTGCCACATAAACACAGTGGCACCACTAGTTTAGGGAAAAAACAAGCTTCTCCCTGTAGACCAGCCTTAACTACTACCTTGTCACCTCCAAGGAGGATTATTCTGCACTGGTCCGGTCCTGTAGGGAGCAGACCAGGAAAGCCAAGGCTGCAACTGAACTCCAGCTAGCTTTGAGCATCAAGGACAATAAAAAGTCCTTTTTCAGATATGTGGGGAGCCGGAGGAAAAGCAGGGGCAACATTGGACCCCTGCTGAGCCAGATGGGGCAACTGACAACTGACGCCCAGGAAAAAGCCAACCTATTAAATAGGTACTTTGCGTCAGGCTTTCATCAGTCCCATGGGACGGCCATGCCCGCTACAGGGCCGGGAAGTCCGGGTGAGGGTGATCCCCTGCCCTCCATTAATGCTGACTTTCTGAAGGAACATCTTGAGAAGCTGGATACCTTCAAGTCAGACGGCCCTGACAATCTTCACCCCAGGGTACTCAAGGAGCTGGCGAGCATCATAGCCCAGCCTCTAGCACGGATCTTTGAAAACTCTTGGCGCTCTGGTGTAGTGCCCGAAGACTGGAAGAAGGCTAATGTGGTGCCTATCTTCAAGAAAGGGAGGAAAGTGGATCCGGCTAACTATAGGCCCATCAGCCTGACTTCTATTCCGGGGAAGATCTTAGAAAAGTTTATTAAAGAGGCCATCCTTAATCGACTGGCCGACGTCAACATCTTAAGGGATAGCCAGCACGGGTTTGTTGCGGGTAGGTCTTGCTTGACCAATCTTATTTCCTTCTACGACCAGGTCACCTGAGCCCTGTGGGGACCGAAGCCCCATGGCCTCAAGTGAGACGGCAGTCTGGAGCCCCGAGTGAAGGGGGCAGAGACGAGTAGCCCCAAGCGAGGGGGCAGTGGGGAGCCATGAGTGAAAGGGGTGGAGATCTAGAGCCCCAAGTGAAGGGGCGGTGTGGAGACCCTGAGTGAGGGCAGTAGGCCCAGGTAGGTCTTTGGACACCTGAGGCTGAAGTTTAGGCCCAAGGCCAAGTAAAGGGGGCTCAGCCCAAGAGAGAGAGGCTGAATCCTGACCCCGGTAAGTCCTCCACTGCTAGGAGGCTGAGTGTGGGTCAAAAGTAAGATCTTAAGTAGCACCACAACCTGTTGCTCCAGTGGGGGGAGTGAGAGTCCCCTGTGAGACCCTGGAGCACCAGTTGTAGTGTGAGGTACCCTAGCTCGCACTAGGGTGCGATGCGGCGGCTAGTAAAGCGACCAAAACGCTGGCTTGCATCCATAGATGCTTCTCAAGCAAATCCCGGGACGTCATTCTCCCCCTGTACTCGGCCTTAGTGAGGCCGCAGCTGGAGTACTGTGTCCAGTTTTGGGCTCCACAATTCAAAAGGGATGTGGAGAAGCTTGAGTGAGTCCAGAGAAGAGCCACGCGCATGATCAGAGGTCAGGGAAGCAGACCCTACGATGACAGGCTGAGAGCCCTGGGGCTCTTTAGCCTGAAAAAGCGCAGGCTGAGGGGTGATCTGATGGCCACCTACAAGTTTATCAGGGGTGACCACCAGCATCTGGGGGAACGTTTGTTCACCAGAGCGCCCCAAGGGATGAAGAGGTCGAATGGTCACAAACTACTTCAAGATCGTTTCAGGCTGGACATAAGGAAGAATTTCTTTACTGTCCGAGCCCCCAAGGTCTGGAACAGCCTGCCACCGGAGGTGGTTCAAGCGCCTTCATTGAACAACTTCAAGATGAAACTGGATGCTTATCTTGCTGGGATCCTATGACCCCAGCTGACTTCCTGCCCTTTGGGCGGGGGGCTGGACTCGATGATCTTCCGAGGTCCCTTCCAGCCCTGATGTCTATGAAATCTATGAAATCTTTCTACAAAATATGATCCCTGTAGCATTTTTCAGCAGTGATTATCCATCCCTGTTTACAGGTGTGTTCCCTCAGAGGTTTCTCACAAGAATCCCCTACTTCCTTTCATAGGTGGGAACCAATTTGTTCCTTCTAGGACCAAGAGGCTGTCTTTTCTCTGTATGAGTGTTCCCACCATGCCTTGAATCTCTGTTCTTTGATTTTTCTGTTATATTGCTGTAGCTTTCTAATGAGAACTGATCCATTTGGAAATAATCTGTGATCTGTAAGGCCCGCTTGCTCAAAAGCAGAACACTTTAACAGGTATAATACAATAATACTATTCTTCCACAACGGGTTATGTAACACAAAGTGGCATCTGGTTAAAATCACTGACTGGCCCACTACATCGTAAAGTGTTATTCTGAACTCTACATATAATATGTTATGCCCAGAAGTGATTTTGCCTTAGGATGTATGTATTACGTTTGGAGCATTGTTATACTTGAACTTATTCCCAACTACTTTTAATCCTTTCATCTTCTGCACTGTCCTCACTCTGAAAGAAATTGTATACTTCCATTAGCATGTAGGAATGCTTTAAAATAATTATTTCTGCCTAAACAAGGAAGGGATAAAGCACCTAGCTTTTCCCATAAAAACAATAAATAAGTGGGTTCCCATCCCCTCCCCCTCCATAAGCATCTATTGCAAACAACTTGCTGGGGTTGTCATAGGTTCTACCAGAGTCTATAAAACTCCATTATTCAGAAGCTAAGGTATCACTGTAGGGGGGAGAAATACAAGTCAGTGACTTGGAGTCTTAAACTTTTTCTTCTGGTCAAAGCACTGTGGTAATAGCAATGAGAAAGATGATGTTCTGAGAGAGAAATTTCACAGAACACTGGCTGCAATCATTTTTATCAGACTACATGCAACAGTGTGAACAGCTCATTAAATTCAAGAAATGTATCTAATTTAGGGAATTTGTGACTCTTGTCTAGGAAAATCTGTAAAGCCGTGTGTGGGGGATGGTAGGTGGACACACCTGTTAAGCATGACAGATATGCGTCTGCACTATGTGAATCTGACATACCATTCTCCAAACTAAATCACTTGGTCAGCCTAGAGATGACCGTGTACCTTCCTGTTTACAGGAAACGCAGGGGTGGTGACAGCCATATTTTGATTGTCTCCCCTGTGAATCAGGCAGCAATGATGCACAGACCAGTTGTAATACATATACAGGAAGACAAGAATTTTTTTAGCTGTCTATAAACCTTGAATCTGATCTTGGCAAAGATTAACTCTCTGCTGAGATTAAATGTATCCTTATCATAGTTTGACTCAGGAGGAATAAAGGGAAGACCTCTGCTTAAGGTCTGTCTTCAGAGATAGCACTTCTAACCTACACGGCACTCCACTGTGCAGTGTGCAAAACACACATCTGTTTCCAGTTATTTTCACAACCATGAGGGTTGGGCACATTAGAAGACAAACATTTTGGCTCTCGTCAGTTCTACAGTGGAGGGAGGGAGGGAGAGAACTTGCATGGCTTCAGGCCTGAAGTCGAGTGTTCTGGGGACATTTTCAAAAGACACAGGTGCTTACAGTCTATTGAAAAACAACAAATGAATCATCTGTGCCTTTGAAATCTACTCCATCAGAACTGACGCTAAGCAAATACCAAATCAGATGCTTGATGGGAAAATGCATTTTTTGTTCAAATAAGAACCACTGAAGGGAGAAGTATTTAAAGCATTCTATATTAAGTTCAAACACACTTAATGGAAAAGTATGGTTCACTAAAATTGAAGAAGCTGCAGTGACATGGCTAAGATTGCATCTGATTATCCCAGAAGTGCCCTTGTTCTGTCCTGCTGTAAAAAAATCTTTCTTGTGCTAGCACTTAAACGGCTCATTTAAAAGGATCTCTTCCTACAGGGGTTGAAATGTGCCAAAAGGGAAAGTAAACTGGTACATGGGGTAGACTTGAGGGGTAATGTACTTGCTGTATAGAAAGTGGTAACATACATACTGCACTTCCCAGGAGAACCCCTGACACTTCCTTCCAAACCTGCCCATGTATTACCATATTTACTTGAATACAGGATAAGCCAGCCCTGACACCCTCCCCTTGGTGCCCAAAAAGCTACATTTTATTTTAACCAAAAAGGCTGAGATACTGTTGGGAACCTACCACAAGGATAGATTTGTGCAGCCCATCTTTATATAGCTTAATCTAGTATTACTCACTGAGTACAGGTCTCCCTCAGTGCTAACCTCTTTTCAAGTCAGGGTGAGTCACTACACTGAATACATTTCCTTTTTACTCCCACAGCTGAGCTGTGCCTTTCTTTCCTATTTCCAGTGATTCCTGTTTCCTCACCAGCCTTAGATGTCTGGCAAACATGGCCAAACAGGGGTCCAATTCACCTAGAAGCCCTCGGTCATCCCCTTCTTCAGCCTGTCGCAGGTGATCAGTATGACTCCGCCCTCCATGAGGCGAAGCCAGACCAGCTTGCCCTGTACCTCTTCTGCATATACATTTTTTAAGGATCCCAGGACTCATGACAACAACACCCAGTTCATGAGTGAGGGACTAATTAGCACATGGATCCTTTGTTTGGGCATCTGGATAAACACCCACTGAGCAGTGCTGAGCTGTGGGGTCACTATGGCTTGAAATGCTGTTGGCTCTGCTGGGGCCCAGGTCAATGAACAATATGACAAATCATAAGCCTTTTGGCTCTTGATTAATGCCATGCATAGTTTATACTATATGTAAGAAGGTACTTCCTCTTCTCGTGTTTCTACTTCACATTTGACCATTTTTGTTACACATGCTTGCGCCTGTTTATTGTACTTCTATAAAATTAAATTAATAAATTAACAAACAAGCAGATGGTCACAGCTGAATTGTGAATGGATCATACTACTGTAAATGGACCTCTGGGCCTATGCCCTGCAATTAGGCTGAGATATTCAAGATAAGTGTCTACTACGGTGGGAATGAAGCAAAGGTTGCTCACAGTGTTCAACCTATTCAGAATCTTGCTGACAGGTTAAAATCTTATTATTTGCTCTGCACATTGAATCAAGGATAAATCTCTCTCTTACATCTCTTAACACCTCTCTTTCACTCTATTCACTTTCCACTTCTCTTCCAAATGTCACACCATTGCCTGCCACAGCTCTTTGGGGAAAATGCACTTTTGCCATTAACTGCTCATCGGTTAACACGGTGAATTAAGTCCGTCTTATATCAGTAAGAGACTATTGGCTGAGCTTGCTTTAAAATGGTGCACTCTAAACAAATCTTAGAGAAAGCTATTTATACCACCTACCTCAGCAAAGGTGCAACAACGTCAGAGCTGCCCAATGCATATGATGTATTGGAAATTCAGTAAGACTATGCCAGTGTGACTTTGGGGTAAGAATGCTATGGTCTGCTGCCATAGATTTCTACTGCTAAGGAATCAAAACTCATCACACCTGTCAGAGACACTTTGAAGACTACCATTAGTGCTGCAGCTCCCAGTTAAAAAAATTTTTTTTTTCCAAATACCAAAAGGTATTCTCACCTTTTTGCCTCCTGGAGAAGAAGTATCAGGGGGCGGTGTGCTCGTTATGTTCAGTGGACTGGAACCACAGCTGGAAGGTGATGATCCTCTTATCCTGTTACACCAACGTAATTAAGATTAATAAAAGGTAATGCAGAATAACACAGTTACACGCTATATGTCTTTAAAATTGCAAATTATGGTTGTGGTTACTGGCATGTTCATTGCTGGCAACTATCTACGCATCTGCTGAATGTAGCACAAACCTTACTTCTGAAGAATAATCTTAACAATACAGTTTGAAAGAATGTATTAGCATTGGTTCCATACGTTATGACAGCTTTTTATGTCAGTAGACATGAGGTCTGTAGCACCAACCTATCCATAAACGGAACTCTACATTACTGGCCCCTCTAGTATAGACTGTAAATAGTTCAATCAGTTGAGTTTGGCACACTGCAATTTTCTCCGTTTATAAACTTTACCTTTCCTTCCCTATTCTTTTATTGTTAAGCCTCAATCTAAAATGTTAAGATGCAACACCTTGGGTCCAGGATGGATGGGCCTTCCATCTTAAAGCTTAGGACAGATCCTCAGCTTATGCAAGTTTATACTAGTTTAGAGAAGCAGATCTACTCTACAATATTCACAATTAAACTGCTGAAAGGAAAACCAAAAAAATAAAATAATGGAGTACAGCCTTTTTCTCCAAGTCATCATCGCTACAGAGTTATCCAAGCTTCTCTCTTCATTCTACTGATGTAGTGAACATGTATTTAAAGAGAGACATTTTCAAAGCTGTGCTTTTCACTTTGTCCAGGATTTCCCTAACTCGGTATGTTTGTAATTTTGGTGAGTCCCCTGGAGCAGAAGATGACATGTTGTAATGAAGATGGTTCAGTTAAGCATGTCGTGTGCAAATGACTGCACAAACATACATGTTTTAAGTTCCCTTTGTCACAATTTATGCATTGCCACTCACCAAGCAAGTCAGTCTGCTACTATAGCCAACACCCTTTGCGCCTTATGGACCTCTCTGCCCAAGAGCACACTATCTTTCCTTCCATAGTATTTACGTATTAGTGCTGCATCTATTATATGCATTTCATCAGAAACCTAGTGTAAACTGGACAGGCTTATTTATTTATTAACAAAAATGTACTCCCTTGAATACTAAAGAAAACTGAGAACAAGCTAGGAATCTCATTCACTATAGCAGCATTTCAGTGGAAAGGCTGAGCAGAATGCAAAATAGGAGCTAAGGAAAGGACTGGAACTAAACCAGTGCTCTCCAACTGAATGGAAAGCAAAGGCAGTATACTTTCTCTTTGTGCTTTGTTTCTCTTTGAAAGACAGATAATTGAACAAAATGCTATTTAATATGTTTCAGAAAGTGTTTCACTGCTTGTAAAAGCAACAGAAGGCTTGAAGTTCTTGTTCAGTCTGGAATTCACTTTTTTAAATTAAAAAAAAAAAGGTGTGTTTGTGCTCAAAAGCATAAAGAAAAGACAGCACCTCCTTACTCAGACAGCCTGCTTTTGTTTGTCATTTAAATGACAAAAATACTTGTTATTTTAAGGTAGGAGGAGCTCACTTATTTGCACGTCAATGGAACTGGGTAACACAGACTTCTCTTAGGGCAGATAACAGCCCCCCTACCTTAAAGATGGCGGCAGGCATCTAGTGCAGTGGTCCATGAACCCATGGGGGTTCGCAGACCATGTCTAAGGGGTCCGTGAAAGATGACTATGATCAATCAAAAGTATGTAAATACCCACACTTACAATTCAAAGAGGTCTCCACCTACATTAGAAACTTCCAAAGGGGTCCGCACCTCCGTTCAAAATATTTTAGGGGTCCGCAAATGAAAAAAGGTTGAAAACTACCAATCTATTATAACTTAAAGCAGTCTTCATATTTGGTTTTGAGCAGCAGGAAGGTAATCTCTGGGATGGGGGATGCATACTACCCCCCAATCAACAAGCTTTTATTTCAGATTCTCAAACTGAGTTTACAGGTTTGATAGTTCCAAAAGCATATAACGGAGCAACTCTTTCTGAAGTCAGTAAGACATGTAAATAAGGTGCTATATCATACCAGTGTCACAGGTACACAGCCATGCTTTTAGAGGCCTAAGTTTAATTTTATGCTCAAAAATTAATTTCAGAGGGGGAAAGATATTAAATATTAATTTCTGAGGTGCAAGATACCCAGCTGTCAGCTCTTATGCATTAACTCGTACCATTCCCATCAAGTTGATTTCTAGCGCAAGTTTTCTTGTATTTAATTGGCAACAGGCCACAGTGATTTGTGGCCTCCAGATCACTAAATGAGCATTAACAAGCCATGTTATTCCAGTATGGAACATAGTTGGTATGGATCCCGTAGCCCCCTACTGGAACTCTTTAGGCATGGCACGCAAGCATGATAAGCATTTTTATTTTACGAACAGAGGTATAAAAACTTGTTTATCCATTAGGCATTATTTTCATAAACATAACTGACAAAAAACAGCTACAACTGGGGTGGGGGGAAGGGGAGGAATCTGGATACTATAAAGCTAGGCAGGTGCAAACATTTAGGTATAAACATATCACTACTTTAAACTCTACCACTTCTACCCCTAGGGCCTTCTCAGGCAAAATTGCTACTTACTATGAGCTAAGTACTAGGGGGGACATTTATCTCTGACTCCCTATATACCTATTCCTACTCCAGACTACCCTCTGGATTTGGCCACAAGTTAGCATTACACAGCAAAACACCAGAAGAGAGGAATGAAAATCAACTTGCAGAAGTGCATGGTGTTTGTTTTACTTAATGTATCCTTACTTAAGCTCACTAATATACAAGTTGCATCATTACAGACTTCATTACACACTACGCATGAGTTTATTTAGAAGATGCTTCTAAACTGAGGTTGAGCACAGCACTAATGCAACTTCACTATTTCTGTTACCCAGCCTTGTTGTTCAGAACTAGCATAGGTCTCTCTGCATTGACACATACTGTGCCCTTAGGTTAGGTACAGACATTTAAAAAGCCCAAGAAAGAATCGATTTAAGTTATGTGGTGTTCTGTAAGCAGCGGAGGTTAGAGCAATAGTGAACAGAACACATGTTTGCCCTTGGCGGGAGCAGGGGAAAGAGGAGGGCATGCAGGCTGCCTACTCTAGCGGACGATAGCAGGCTGGGGGAGCTCCTGCATTCCCCCAGCTGCATGTGATCACTTATATGAGCACGTGCAGACTCCATGTGGCTCCACCCAAGCACAAGGGTTCTTCTGGACTCTGTGTCAGCTTACCTTTCACACTCCCGCTGCCCGCCTGTGGCTGACATCTGGCCAGAGGCAGGAGACAGAGCTGTGGAAAGGTTCTGCGTTGACTCGGCTCTGTGACAGTTCTGCTGAGTGTGGTAATTACTGTGCTCTAGCAGACTCCAGCATCATGTGCATCAGTGCTCGCACACTGAAAAATGGTGGCGGAGGTGCTTTAACTAAAGCTCATTCAATGTTCTTTAGCTAAAGTGCCCTGTCACCATTTTCCAGCACAGGAATGCTGATACAAGTGACAGTCTGGGCGCTTTAATTAGAGTGGCTCTCAGAGCTACTCTAATTAAAGCACCCCTCCCCACACCCCACCCGCCCCCAGAGCATGTTTATGAACTCCCATAATGTCTGCACCTGGCCTAAGTAGCCATAGGTTGGTCTCAGAAAGCTTAAGCTTAAGAGACTCTAAGAGTAACTTGCACCTAATTCTTCATCTCTGGATTTGGCTCTACCACTCCTTGTTCTGCTGATGGTCTCCCAGTTAACCTCAACATTTTTGGCATTTAGGGGTAACAGTTTATTCCTATAAAATTATTTTCCCAGACTGTTTTTTCATTCATCTCTTCCCGTGATTTAGCTTTTTGCATAGTTAGTTGCTCTTTCTCCCTCTTCCACTATTGTTAAAGTACAATTATACTACAGTAATAAATAATAAAAACAGATTCTCCTTTAATTTAAAAAACCTATCCCTAATTAAAAAGAACCATGTTATTTTTCTTGGTGGTGCTTTCCTTTTTATATCACATCACATTTGACCTAGCGTGGCCAAAGTTTCCAGAGGCAATAGTAAATATCTATTTAACATTAGTACTGCAACTGTATAATAATACATGGTGCTTATGGGAATAAGTGTAGGACACTCATAAAATCAGCAGCAGCATTAAAATAGAGAGCTAGTTTCTCTTACCTGTGAATCTCCATGATTTCCTCAGCAATCATTCTTCCTATTTTACCTGCCCCAGCTCTTGTTCCACCTGGAATACCAGGAACTGTAGGATGGGTCCTTTTGGGGCCACCTAAAATGTGAGTGAATATCTATCTGTAAGATCTTACATGTGCACACAGATAAAGAAAACAAGTTACACTCAACTCATTACATTCTTTTTTAAAAATAAAGTGAAGTTATAAATATAATGTGCCATCTTGCAAAATCTGAAGGACATTCTTGGACATTTTCCAGTTACATTGTCACCCGTCTGTGATAAGGTCCCAAGGTACAGGCTGCTCTAACTTATGCTAGTGGCTGGTTCCAGAAGTGCAAATTAGGAAGGTTCTGTAAGTGCAAATGTTGCCTCCTGCTAAGGTGTGCCTCTTAGAAGATGATATCCACATCCTGAGCACAAAAACTAGTGACATATTCACCATAACCAGGACTTGTTTGTCCCAGGCCAGATGGTAAGTGCACTTTGGGCAAAATGTTAGTGCCAAATATACAGTCATCTGCTGTGCCTACATACTTTGATCAAACGATGAAAGAGTAAATTTCATAAAGCACACTACTAACAAGTCAGCATTTAGCAGCAGAAACCACAGCCAGTATGGGACAAACCTTATATACCTGCTAAATATTTAACCAAGTCCATCTGGGTAACTGCAAATTCCTGAGAAGGGAGGGAAAAGCAGTATGAACCCCAAACATTGTGCTCTTATGGTCTGTAATTGCCTTTTGTTACTCTAATGTGAAGTTGGCGCAGTGACGGAAGTCAGGAGAAACTGGAAGGTGTACAAATAAAATGCACTTAAGACAATAAAAGCAGCCATAGAATACTGTCTGTGAATTCTTGTCTGTTAGCAATTCATTTTCAGAAAGTAACCTCCAAAACAATCTCTTTGGGTTGAAGTCAACGAGAGATAAAATAGCCCAGAATCAAAATCAGTGCAACAAAAGGAACACCAGTCTCTCCCCTTGCAAGCAAACATCCAACTTTTCTTCCATGTCTCTCCTGTCATCACTGATGTCCTATGATTATTTACTCTCACTTTCATATCATCATCAGTGCTTGTATTATTTCTATGCAAATTAAATCTGTGAGTCGGCACACTATTGTATACATTACATGTAAAGTATACCCGCTGTTCGCCAAGAGATTGGTAACTTCTGAATGGGAAACAAGAAACCTTTGTCTAGCAGGTATAACTCTCACAACACTGTAGTTACCTTCTCCAGCCTGGAGTACGCTGTCCATGCTATGTGGAGAAGCTGCAAGCTGTGGAAAGGCTGCATCCCCACCATCAAGTACGTTGGTGCTGAAGGTATTAAATCAAAACAAAGAAAATGACAAAATGACTACAAAACAGTAAACATACATGCATACATACATACTTGGATGGGGATATTTCAATGCCTGCAATTTAGGAAATAGATCCAAACATCCCAATGAGGAAACTACAATAAACAACATGTACTAGAGATAAATAAAATCAAGGAGGATGCTATTGGACATATTTTGCAGAAACAGATACAGAACTCTCACAAAATATCTGATTCAAACTTGCTCTTCTCCTAAAATGAAGGAGCAACAGGCCCAGAACTTGAAGCAAACCTCAGTGAAGAAATCGGGTTCCTTCACTGGAGAGCTATGTAGCCAGGTGCAGTAAATAGGTTTGGGATCCCAGGGTCTTTCTATATGAGCTTATTTATCATATTTTCTCACATACCACACACCCCAAATAAGACATGCACCTTGTGTTAGGAAAGCAGAATGAAGAAAAAAAGTCATTGTTGAATTCTAGCCACATGGAACAGGAGTAGAGTCTATTATGCATCATGCATCCCCCTTGGCTGGTCAGCCAAAAAAGTCACTGCCAATTTGGCAAACCTCTTGCTTTTGGCTAAAGTAGCAGCCTTCATCCCTCCTCCATGTGGTTGAAGGAAGCCAGCCCCTGACAATCATTCTGGGATGGAATCACCCTTATTGCTTTAAAATGCACCCCCCAATTCGGGATGGCTAATTTTTGGGATAAAGGTACACATGGTATATGAGTAAATGTAGTATTCAAATTTATACAAACTAATAAAAGTACTCATCCAGTAACTCAAGTCATTGGCATTAATAAATATTAAAAGGGCCTGTGTGTAGGTAATTTCTAGATTTCATTCCTTTTGTTGTATACCTTTACTTTTATTTAGCTTACGTGCTTAAAAACAACACATTAGTTTAACATTTTTAGAGGAATCTCTATGTTCTTATCCTCGAGGCAGGATAAAATCTTGATGTTAGAGTGCATATGTTAAGGAAAAATACTTACGAAACAACTGTATTTGTTGAGACAATATATTCTACTTCTTTGGTCCAAGGGTTCATGAAACTGAACCAGCGACTCCTCAATGTAATAAAAGAGCCATCTTTTATTTTAAACTTGTAACAATTGGTTGCAATTTTTTCTCTTGTCTGTAAAACTAAACAGAGAGAGATAAAGAAACACCTTACTTGTCAGATCTACACAAGGAAAATACAGAGAGACTAGAGATGTTACATAGACCTTTCATTTCAGTTTTAATTGAATTTAAGTTGGCAGAAAATAGCACTACTTCTAAGACTCTCTATAGCAGAAACAGATTCAATAAAAATCTTAAGCTTTTGCTTCACACCATTTCAACCTCAGCTTGGCATTATTACACTGTTCAGTGCACATAAATCAAAATATTTTTCGTGCAAAAAAGTAATACTTGCCAACTTAAAAACAGTACAATTATTTTATGTGTTTTTGTGAAATATAAAGAACTGATATATATCTAGTTAAAAACTAAAACTCCTTCTTAAAGCTTAGTCATTAATGATTTACCTTGTCTATGACATTCCGCAAGATGTCCTATATCATCTTGATGAAAATATTCATAACAAGAAGTGCCTAGAAGTTCCTGTGGCAAGTAGGCCAGAATGGCTGGCGCCCTTTAAAAAAAAAAAAAAAAAAAAAATTTACCCCTGCATTTCCACATTGAAGTAAGTGGAGTAAAGGTACTTTTTAACTTGCAAGAAAAACTAAAAAAGTTTCCATTATTTGGATTTCAATTCTGAACTAGATTAAAATTAATCATATAATGCCAATAGTTTTCTTTTAAGTACTATATTCTGACCCGCTGTTTACAAATGTGAGAACACTTCCAATTTGGAGAATGTAGAACTGATTTAAACCTCCTGGCAATCCACAAGAAACTGGGAGAACCTTAGTGCACACATTGCCATTGGTAGCATGCAGGTTCTCAAACTCTCTAGAAGCTGTTTTATTCCTTTGAATGCCCAGAAACCTGTTTTTGTCACTACCAGTGTCTTAAAAATCTCTCTCACTTCTCCCTACTGAAGGCCCTGAAAAACAGACAAAAAAGAAAACTGAAGACATGAAAAAATGCTATAAAAGAATACATTTTTACTAAAGTAAAACTAAGAGACACTTTACTATACAGTTCTACTACTATTATACCCAGACAGGACCATAAAACAATTAAGTCATGGCCAACCCATTTTTATTTCCTCATCAGAAAACTTTGAAATTAACAAAGCAGGGTCCTGTAATAGTGGAAAGAGATATAAGATCTCTGGATATGACATTATCAAATAAAAGGGCCAGTGTATAGGCCATGAAGATCATGGATTCAATGCATTTACATCAGTTCCAAGGCTTAATGAAGTATTTTTTAAAACTACATGTCTAGAAGATGTGTGAATATCAAGTGGCTTTATAGAGTAAGGACTGATTCTTGCAATATACTGAACACACTTGCCCTGGCTCACAGCATTTATGTACACTGAACTTCTTAGATTACAGCCAAAAGATGAAGCACCTGATGAGATGGTCCCCCATTTCTCTTTGTATTGACTATGTTACTACTACTGCTTACAACACAGGAAACTGAATACTGAATAACTGTTTGTTATGTTACTACCATCTTGAACTGGCATGGAAATTACGTAACAATTACAGACTGGTCAGTTTGACTTCAATACACGAAAATCTACTAGCGCAAGCTGTGAAATACTAAATTTGCAATTATATGGAGAATGAAGGGATGACCACTAGGCAGACCATGGATTTGTTCAGAATAAATCATGTCAAACCAGTACCGTCTTCTTTTTTGCCTAGGTAGCTAGTTTGGTGGATAAGCAAAGTGCAGTGACATAATATAATTGGACTTAGGTCTCTGACAGTGCTACATGCTATACTCTTTAGCTGGTGGGGGAAGTGTGGGCTAGGGAGAATTACCATTAGGTGGATAGACAATTAGTTGACTAGCCACAATCAAAAATTAATGAATGGGTCAATGTCAGATGACAGGTCTCAAATGAAGTTCTTAAGCAAAGTTCTACACGGGGTCCTTAGGGTCCAGTCCAGTTGATGTTTTTATTAATTTGGATGCAGAAATAGTGTATTGATGATATCTGCAGGCAGCACGAAAGTAGAAGGGACTCTTTGAAGAACAGGACTAAAATTCAAAGGGAAGAGTGTGAAGAGAACTGTGCTGTATTTAAAAAAATTGAATTCAATAAACACAAATGTAAAGTTCTACATAAAAGGAAGAAAAAACATGGCAGCAGCAGTCACTCAATACAAGGGTGACAGACACAAGTACAGAATGTAAGATAAATTAATTAATGATATGGTAGTGGGACTACTGAGAAGGATCTGGGGGCTGGGTGGACCACAAACTCAACATGAATGAAATCATTCTCCATTTGATACACTGCTCTGTGCATATCCTTTCACAGCATCTGATGAAGTGAGTTAGTTCACAAAAACTTATGCTCCAAGGTGAAATCTAGCCTACCTTCAGCAGTGTAAAGCCATCACAATAAAAGTAAATGTAGTTTACATACAACAGGAACATTGTATGTAGTAAGACACAGGAGGATATAGTAGCACTCTTCAGCACTAGTTAGGCCTCACCTGTCCTGCTATATCTAGTTTGGGGAATCATACTTTTAAAGACAAAGAAACTGGAGAGTCCAGAAGCAAATGCCAAGATGAAGGGTTGGAACACAAGCTGTATGAAGAAAAGCTTAGGTACCAGGTACGTTTAGCTTGCAGAAAAGAAGATTAAGGCTCAACATTATTTAGATCCTTCTAAATAAAATTATCATCAGAAGATAAGCAATTTTTAATTAAAAATTATTTTTAATATCATTTGCTCTGATTGCTACTAGCTGCTTTTGCTGAGAAAAATCAGAAAGTCAGCTGAATCATTCCATTTTACTTTTAGACCCAGGCAGTGACTGTTTTAAAAGGCAAGAAGTACTTCTACTTCTTCTCAAACTGGGGAAATTAATTTTGTCTTAATTTTTAAAAAGGAAAAGAAACTTTAAAATAAGAGTCTGAAATAAACCACCACAGTGATCCAGGAAACTTTAACTGCATTTAAAAAAAGACGCAGCCATTTGTTATTTCAACATTCCCCTGGTTCAAAAGAGATCCTGGATCTTCTGAATTATTATTCTTTATCAGTCACTGTTAGTAACAACCAACATCATCTCTCTTAATAAGGAGCTGCTTGCATTTACAGTTAAGGCACCAATTGACCAAATCACTTTAAACTGACTTAGAACCTATTATTACAACCTACCATATATTCACGTAAATCCAAGATGAGGTCCCTCCACCCCCAACAGCATAGGAGAAAAAAAAGCATCATCTTGGATTTGAGTACTTGTCTGGGAGAGGCAGTAGCTTGGCTCTGGTCCTAGGCTGAAGCAGGATCTGAACCACCGCCTGACCTGGGCTGGAAGAGCTTGTTTGGCTACATGGTTGGGGAGGTGCTGGGGGAGACTGGGGGGGAGGGTGGGGAGGTGGGACTTGCAGCCTGCCCTCTAGCCTGCCCCCCACCCTTCTTCCCTTCCCTCAGCTGTCACCTCTGCCCTTCTGTTCTTCTCCAGCTTTTGTCCCTCCAGGCCCAACCCTGCCCAGCCAAAAGCCATCCTTTCTTCTCCCTGCCTGGGCTGGGCTGGGGCCTGGCCAGAGCCACCACTGCTGCTGAGTGCCCTGAAGCCAGAGCAGAGCTGCAGCAGAAGACAGGAGGAGGGCTGCAGGAGGGAGCAGGGAATTGAGGAAGCAGGGGCTGGACTAGGGCCACGCTGTTGCTGACTGCCCCAGAGGAGCAGAGCTGCAGCAGAAGGCAAGGGGGATGGGGTGGGCAGAGAGTAGTGGGGAGCAGGCTCAGGCATAGGGTACAAGGGGTGGGGGAAGCAGGGAGTGTGGGGGCAGGCATGTACAGGCAGGTGGCAGGGGGCAGGCATGTGGAGGGGGATGTGGGGTAAGGGTCTGACCCCTCACATCCCACTGCTGCTTTCCCTGCCACAATAGTAGAAAGGGGGACAAATTTAAGATGACTTTCCATTAATTAGATCCTGTCCATGGAAAACAAAAACGAATTTATAATTTTCCATGTACATAATATAATTAATGCATGTTCATTTTAAACTCAAAAGTTGTCTTGGATTTGGACACGTATGGTAGTTCACATGGAAACTTCTATCCAGCATGTTCAGAAAAATTTAACATTCAAAAAATCTTTAAAAAAAAAAAAATGTTGCAACTTGAATGTTAATAGAAATCATTTCATCTTGAGATTTGCAAATAAAAGGTAGATTCTTCCAACCTAATTAAATATAAACACTACAGTTTAAAACTAATGCACCATAATTTTGCTCTGGTTACATTATTCGATACTACCAACTGATAAATGAGCATTAATATTTTAAACTTAATCCCACTGGAATTATCTTGAGACCCAAGTAGTTTGTAATCAAGTGCCAGTAATGAAGTAAACTAGCAGAATCGTGATCTACTATGATTATGGCTGTTTTGAATAAATGTAATCACGTAGTATAATAAAATTTCAGCATCATAATAAATATCAGCATTAGTCTATTCTAGTTATCAAAATTATCAAAATGACTCTTACCTCTGATCTACAAAAACAAATTTCCCATCTATTGCATGTCGAGAAACATATTCTGTAGGTTTAACCCTGATCTCGCCATTGACTGGTTGTGGAACTACATGAGGATGCAACCGTCCAATTGCAACAAGACAGCTTAAGTTACAACCTTCGTTATCAGGCTCATTATCTTCATCTAGTCCCATTTTTGTTGGTGGCCAGCTTTTTAAATATCCTGTGCTATGGATAGTGCAAAAGCTTTTACGGTCTGCTATAAAAGAAAAGAAGGTTTACATTGTCAGCATTGCCTTAAGAAATTCAGCTGTCAATCAAGCTTGCTAACAGAGTGTTTCTCCAACCCATACACAAACGCATACTACATGTTAGAGAAGGGTCAAATACTTAGTGTGAACATGACACCTTCCAAACCAGTGCTAATATTAAAGCCACTCATGTTTTACCACTCTAAGTAGTCCTGGATTTTTAAAAAGCCAAACTACAGACTTTTCCCACTAATAATTCTTAGCTCATATAACTTGGTGAGTGACCTTTCTTTTCCATGTCTGAAACCAAATACTTCAAGAGGTATTGTCCCTGTGTGCATTCCAGCCTGGAGCAAGTATGTGCTCCCCAAATTGAAGATTTTACCGTCAGAGTCTGTTCATGCCCCACACATCCTCAGGTGCTAAACTGTGGGGGTAAAGGATTGTGTGGTACCAACTATTTATTCTCCCCCTTCTCATACAGATTCTATCATGATGTAGCACATGAATCCAAAGCAGAGTAGGAGGAGGACTGATTGTGGAAGGCACACAAGGACAACACAAATTTAAGAATTCCAGTAGCTGAACTGGCAAGTTACCTTTACTGTTTTACTGTTTTCCCAGACTGACACCTCCTATGGGATATTCCCAGCCAGCATACTAGATAGGAAGTGGGTGGTGGGAATCTTGCTGAAAAACTGACAGCAACACTATCCAAATTTGCTTTGAAAATGAACAAAGAGTGCTTGCAGATGTAAAAAAACAAACAAACCCCAAAACTGGCACTTTAAACTCAGCGTGTTCCTGCGCCAAGCCCAAAAGAGGCAGTGTGCTACTTCAACCTGGCTTGCCCAATGTCTGTAAAGATGGGGCGCTTTAGTGGGGCTTTTTTGGCACTTTTACCTAACAGCTGATTGAAATCAGCTTTAGCTAAAAGAGCCAAAAAACCCCACTGAAGCACCCAATCTTTACAGATGCTGCAGAGCCAGGTTGAAGTAATGTACTGCTACTTCCGGTAAAGCATGGTTTGTTTGTTTGTTTGTTTGTTTTAAACGTCTGCAAGCAGCCATGTCTCCATCCTACAATACCCAATCAAGGGGATATTTTTAGGAAGGCCACAGAGAGCAGATTAGGCCTTACTTAAATGAGTTTTGATAATGTTTGGAGCTGAAGCAGCAGAGTTGGATATGGCCTTCAGATTAATTAATTGTACATAAAAACCACATTTCATTCTTTCAGCAAAAGAAACAACTTATGGGATTAGTTTGAAGGGACACAAGGCTTTGGATGAAGGAACTTCCTTCCTCCCTACACTCTACCCTAACTGAATAACTTGGGTTAGTATGAAACTGTAAAATGAACCTTCACTGAATAAAAAAATTAGGAGCAATTCAAGAGAGACTTGTCTTGATGACAAAAGAGTCCTCAGCTGCCTGAACTGCCTAACAGATGTTATTGTTGTAAGGAAGGAAACTCTCGTGGAGAGATAAATGTGTCTAATGAATCAAACAGATTTCATTAGGGATGACAGAACTAAACTGAGACCCCCATGATGGAGCTGGTTTTGTTGTCAATAGGAAGAGCCTTTTAAATCTTTTATAACCAGCTGCACCAAGATTTCTCAAAAATGTTGTAGAATTGCCAGGTGGCGGGCACTTTTGCATGCTAAATGCACCCCTAAAACTTCTGCCTCATTACAGAAATACTAGCACCTTATTCTTTGGGAGCTCTTGCAGAATGCATCCTGGGATGTGGGATCTCCTGACTCTTACAGTGGGACTAGGAATGAATTCTATACTTTAAAGAGAATTTGGGAGTGGTTTATCTCCCTTCTTGCCCTCTTCAGTGTTTCTTCCCCCTCTCCCTCCCATGCTTCTCATAGGTTGCCTTGAGGGAAGGATTTCTGGAAGCTCTTGAAGTTGTAGCTGAGAAAGCACTCTAAATTACTCGCCCTGCTCTAAGGGGAGTCTGAGGGAACCAAGCCAGATTCTGGCATAACTGACTTGTCCACCAAGAATATTTTGAGGCGAGTTCCCCTAAATTTTCAGACCACTTGTGAATATAATTTTACGATGCTACATTTTAGCATGGGCCATGGGTAAAGCATTGCTCTGAATGTGCTCCAGCCTTCCCCCTGAAGGTGGCCCACTGCACAATACATTTAATATATGTTGGGTAAAATAGATTAATATAATCCCTTCCAGGGTAGCAGACATCTCATTGAGCTTCCATGCCTCTTGGCCCCATATATCTTTTAGTTTCGTCTTCCCAGGAGGCCCAGTTCAACAGAAGAGGTGATGGTAGTCTGGTGTTTAGAACAATGCTAGGAAGCAGGAGACAGGTTCAAACCCTCTCTGGGTAAGCAGGGTTGGGGGCTAAAAACTAGGTTTCTCAAAAATTTTGCATGTGCCCTAACTACTAGGTTACTGGGCCATGAGGACTACCACCTCCTCAAATGAAAATGTACTAGTTGTGATTTCTCTTCAAGTTTTAGGACTTGCCTGGTGTTTCATGAAATTCTATTTTCCCCAGGATAGCTACATGGCCACAACGTAGCCTACCCAGCAGATTAAGTAAGGAAGCACTGAGCAAGCACAGCTATGCTGAATTACAAACTATATGCAAGTGCCAAGACACACAGTTAACATGGCACTTACGTAGCCAACACCTTCATCAGTGACTTGGATGAGGGCGTAAAAAGCACCCTGTTCAAATTTGCTAATGACACTAAGATGTGGGGGGATGTGGGCACGCTAGAAGGGAGGAATAGGCTGCAATTGGACCTAGACAGGTCACAGGGGTAGGCAGATGAGAACAGGATGCGTTTCAACACCGACAAGTTCAGGGTACTGCACCTGCGGGGGAAGAACCAGCAGCATACCTACAGGCTGGGGAACTCCCTTCTTGTCAGTGCAGAGGCAGAAAAGGATCTTGGAATCATTACTGATGCCAAAATGAACATGGGCCGACAGTGTGGGGACGCAGTCAGGAAGGCCAACCACACCTTGTCATGCATCCACAGATGCATCTCGAGCAGGTCCAAGGAGGTGATCCTCCCCCTCTATGCGGCACTGGTCAGGCCACAGTTGAAGTACTGCGTCCAGTTCTGGGCACCACACTTCAGGAGAGATGAGGACAGCATTGAGAGGGTTCAGAGGAGGGCCACCCGCATGATCAGGAGAGGCTAAGGGACCTGAACCAGTTCAGCCTCCACAAGAGAAGGCTGAGGGGGGATCTAGTGGCCTGTTACAAACTAGTCAGAGGGGACCAGCAGGCATGGGGGGAGTCCCTGTTCCCCCGAGCACTACCAGGAGTGACTAGAAATAATGGTCACAAGCTGGCAGAGGGTAGATTCAGACTAGACATCAGGAGGCGCTACTTCACTGTCAGAGTGGTTAGGATCTGTAACCAACTTCCAAGCAAAGTGGTGCTGGCTCCTACCCTGGGGGTCTTTAAGAGGAGGTTAGACGAACACCTTGCTGGGGTCGTTTGACCCCAGTACTTTTTCCTGCCATGGCAGGGGGTCAGACTTAATGATCTGCTCAGGTCCCTTCCAACCCTACCAACTATGAAACTAAGTGGAAATAGCACCTGGCCTAAGTGACTTAAGCATCCAAGTTCCATTCTTATTTTCAGAGACCTAGGAGTGTAAGGACAAGTGATGTTCAACAAAACTTGTAGCTTACAGTCATACTTAGCATGCATTAGTTATCACCACAACTGTTGCAAAGACTGCACAATCTAGTCTTGTCAAATAACACTATTTCTTTTTCAGCATGCCACAATAGAAACGCTTCTTTTTGGAAAAGTTTGAAGAGAGCAGGAAGCAATAAACTTAAAACTCTTTATCCAACTGCTACAATGAAGAATATCTTCAATACAGGGAATTAAATTAAAGGTTTGTTTCTAACTTCATAAGATGTTCAAACATTACCTTTCTTCTTGGAACAGGTGGAGGGAAAATCTTTGTCTTCTACTTTCACTGAAGGCCTGTTGCACTTCATTCTACAAAAGAAGGAACGTCTTGCTCCAGAACATAGCCGCGATGGCCCAGGTGTTATATCTGTTTTAACTGGAAGTCCAGCTGCACCAAGTGAAAAATTAAAATCAGGAAGCTTTTTTTTTTTAATTTTAAATTAAAATGAACTAAAAAATGACCATTAAAATAGCATTTGAGTTTAAAATCTTCAGCCTCCTCTCAGTGAGCTTGGGTAATTCATAGTAATTCCATGGCACCTAGAATTGATTTTTCCCATTAGATCATATTATATTCTATGTTGCTGGCATTCCCATAAAAAAGGACCCAGAAGTTAAAAGTGCCATTTTGGTGTTGCACACTTGTAATTTGGGAAGATTTAAGCTGAATGTGATTTGGATCTTTCTAGCTGCAAAATCTGTTACAACAGGCAGTCATGTTAACAGCTGCCCAAGCATCACATTTTTCAAAACCCTTTGAAAAATCTGTTAGAATTAATAAAGTGACCTGTACCTATAATAATTGTGCAAAAATGGTCTTGTGGCTAACAGCACAAGACAAAATCCTATTCCTAGCTCCATCAAATATTGTACAGCTTTAAGACAGACACCTGCCCTGTCTGTAGTTCAATGTCTTGGTTTCTAAAATGGGTATAATACAAGTTTAAAATATGTATTTTTTAACTTTGTTAATAGTTAGATCCTCAGTTAGAAGACATGGCAGAAATGATAATATTAACCACTTTTTCATTATCTGGAGAATAAAAAGAAATTCTAAAAAGTTAGTCCAGGTACCCTAACAATTCCAAAGAAATATATACTCACTTTTTGCATCTATGAGCCTTTCTCGAGGTGCAGCATCAGAAGAAGAGAGCTGCTCTTTAACTTTGGCAATATCTTTAGGATGAAGGTAGTCAAATAAACTCTGACCAATCAAATCATTCTGCAAACATTAAATAAATGCATGAGTTAAAAATCGGTAAAGGGAAGTAGAAGTTTCTTCTTACAGATCTGTTAACTGAAGATCAGATAAGCCTTTGTTAAAAGTTAAGCCTCATGTTACTTATACATTAAACCTGCATTTAGTATGACTAATGCCAGTTATATTTGCCTTATGCTAGTAGATGGATGCATAGAAGAAATTTCTATTTCCATTGACTTCCTCATCTACTAAGGAAAGCACTCCTTTTTATACTAGTATTTTCTACTCCCCAATCAGCCACTGCAGAACTCAAGCACATAAATCTGTTAGAAAACTGATTTTAAAGATTATTATTTGTGTTACCTGCTACAGTGGCCACAAACAGATGTTCATTTCTATCAGTGGAAACTCCTGAGAAATTTCCACAAGTAGAAATCTTTCTGGGAGAGGGAACATATAAATGTTCATCCTGCAGCCACTGACTACCCCCATTTTCACCAGACTGGGGAGAGGGTGGGAGAGCAAAGAGTGGCTGCTCCTTTGACTGGCTCCTGGGCACCATGAGCTCAGTGAACTGAACAGCATGGCAACACCTGCCCACCTCGCACCCCCCATACTTCAGACCATGAATCCCAGTCAGGAAAGCAGGTAGGGGCCTTTGCCCTGCTGTTCCACTCTCCTTAATTGACCCAGAGAGGACTGGAGCAGCCTGGTACTGCCCTCCCCAGCCAGTCTGCCAATCAGGCAGTCCCCAATGCATGACGAAGAGATCCAAGGAGGTGATACTTCCCCTCTATCGGGCGCTGGTCAGACCGCAGTTGGAGTACTGCGTGCAATTCTGGGCGCCGCACTTCAAGAGGGATGCAGATAACCTGGAGAGGGTCCAGAGAAGGGCCAACTCGTATGGTTAAGGGCTTGCAGACCAAGCCCTACGACAAGAGACTAGAGAAACTGGACCTTTTCAGCCTCCGCAAGAGAAGGTTGAGAGGCAACCTTGTGGCTGCCTATAAGTTCATCATGGGGGCACAGAATGGAATTGGTGAGTTTTTATTCACCAAGGCGCCCCCCCGGGGTTACAAGAAATAATGGCCACAAGCTAGCAGAGAGCAGATTTAGACTGGACATTAGGAAGAACTTCTTCACAGTTAGAGTGGCCAAGGTCTGGAATGGGCTCCCATGGGAGGTGGTGCTCTCCCCTACCCTGGGGGTCTTCAAGAGGAGGTTAGATAAGCATCTAGCTGGGGTCATCTAGACCCAGCACTCATTCCTGCCTATGCAGGGGGTCGGACTCGATGCTCTATTGAGGTCCCTTCCGACCCTAACATCCATGAATCTATGAATCAATCTGGGGAAGTGTGGGGAACACTGCCCCACTTTTTCACCCTGCTCTCTGACCAGACTGAGAGGGGAGTGTATAAGCATTCACTCTTGCAAGAGAAAAAGATCTTCCAGGTTGACATCCGGAAGATCTTTTTCCTAGAAGGGGTATGTTTCCCTTTGGATAAGCTAAGTGAACACTTGTAAGTTTGTCATTTGTATGTGGCCAGTGTTAACAGCAACCCTGTATGTAACAAGTAGAGAACAAAGGGAACATTTCCAAAAGGGCAACAAGCTCCATTTTCAAAACCAATGAGAAGCCTAACACAGGTATGCATGTTTGATAATGTTACTCCAAGACCTTACTTGAACATTTGATAACGTTACTCCAATGTAATTCAACTTGATTTCTAAGTTGCAAAATAGCTCAAGGGCACCTCAGCTTTTCCTGGGTCCAGCTAAAGCCAGAATCAGTCCAACCAAAGGAAGATGTTTTTCTGACAGAAAAGAGGTGGTACTAGATTTCTTATATATGTTAGATTGTTATTGTAATTCAGATAAATGCCCCCAGGTTTGGATACATAAGCAAAAAAAAAAAATTCAGTTTGAGGTCTGTCCACAGTGATCACAATGAAGAATACCTGACTGTAGTTGAGGATCTTGAAGACAGATTCTGATACAAACAATATCTTCCCTCTGTCACAGCCCACAACAAAAAGAAATCCGTCTGCTGCCTAATTAGGAAAGATATGGAAATTACCAAATCAAAAAACTTCATTACAACTTTTTAACTTTTAGTTGCACTTTGGGAGGTACAGTAGTATTTCTATGTTAGTACTGATCTACTTGAAGTTATAGAAATAATTGAATCAAAAGGAAAAAACAAGAAGTTATGATAAAATCTTGGACTCTATGCAATTTGAAGATTTTTTGGCATCATTTTTCCTTATCAATGCCAAGAATTTAAAGGCAATTTACTAACAGAAAAAGCCCATTTCTTATTGAATAAATACTACATGCATTTAAAAGAATCAATAAACAAGCTTATATTTAAACTATATTTATTCCATATTAAATATGTTTTATTTCTCTTGAAAATCAAGAATAGCCCAGATTCTGCAGATATTTATATACCTGTGTATTTCTGGCACATGCATTGTTTCATTTAATTCAACAGAACATGAACACCTGTACATAGGGGATATGGCCATAACTTTATAACTTTATGCCAATCTGAGCTGTTCCAGTACTGCAGAAACTTAATGCATATCCTACACTAGGTGATTTAAAAGAAATCTCTAAAACACTGCAAGCCTAGTCAGTTAATTTTTAAAGCTGAAATGTATTTTAAAGGGCCACTGATTTTTAGTGCGTCAGTCTTCAGGTGGCCATCTTGAAACCTCTAGTTTGAAAAAGGTATTAAGCAGCTTCAGGTTTCACTGATTTCAAGTGCAGCTGCATGATTTCAACATCATCTTTGCATCTCAGGCTGCTCCCTATCTTGCTAAAGACAATTCAGGTCTTTCCACAAATATTGAATTCACAAAGATTTTTTTAAAATCCCCACACCGCAAATTTTAAATTTTGCTTTTAAAATTTAAAACATACCCTGAGAATAAGATGTTTTAATTCATCATCTGATAGAAAAGCAGGTTTGTAGTTTGCTTCTGTATATGGATTTGTGGCACCTTAAAAGAAAAAAAAAATTCATAGACCACTTAAACTTGATAATGCACATCCTTTGACAGCACAATTTTACAAACTTTTCTTTGTCAGTATTTTGTGGTGCACTTGTATTTTTTTCAGGCATGTTTTAGCTTCAACTATCTTTTATATCAAGTGGAACTCTGATGAGGACAACTTGGAAATGAATGCACACTGGCAAGAAAACATAAAAAAGAACAAACACACAGTAGCTTTAAACACTGAATATCCTTTGAAAAATAAGAATGTTCCTCCTCCTACAAACGTTTTCCAAATGTGTCCTATCCAAGTCCGCTCTCTATATTAGAGGAACATTGAAAAATTATAGTGATGTTCTGAATTATTTCTTGGATCTAAGACACAGTCAACTATGACTCAAAGTTATGACTATCTAATTTCTATTTAGTGACTTATGTGAAATGAATTAGGAACTGCAAACCATTTAATAGAGGATGTGTTCATTTCACAAAACTGACCATTACTATGGCACTATCTGGAAGCATCAAGCAGAGGCAAAGGACAAGCTTTGAGGCTATATCACTAGCTCTGTACGTGAGGCAGCTTCCAATGATGCCGATACATGCTATACCTTTTCCAAAAGTAATCCTTCAGATGCTATTCACTTTGGAAAGGCAAAACTGAGTTACTAGATCAGGGAGAGGCAGTTATTTTGGGCAGAGGGCCGCTTACTGAGTTTTGGCAAGCCATTGAGGGCCGCATGACAGGCAGCCCAGGGCAGATAAATATTAATGTTCTAAATTTTTAGGGGCCCTGCAGGCCGGATAGAACAGCCCGACGGGCCGCATCCGGCCCCTGGGCCACATTTTGCCCACCCCTGAACTAGATAATGACAGGCTTACTGATTAAAAATAGCACGGGATTTTGGATCCTTTAGCAAGCTGAGAGATGATAACAGCAATTTAAAAGATAATGAATCTTTCTACTTTAGGCACTTGGTAATTGGAGGATGCTTTCATAAATTCAGTGCCATGTATACTGTGCTAACTTTACCACCAACCCTTCTCAAGGTGTCACTGCATGCACTCTCATGGGTGTCAGGCCTAAGTTTCTCTCACTCCTACAGAGGAAACCTACAACTAACCCACTCTTAAACAAGAACACAGGTTAGGGTCTTCTGGGTACTAAACCCGACAATTGCAGATTATAACTATTTATTTTTGGGAGCCCATGACATTAGCTGATAAAAAAGTGAATGAAGAACAGGTTCTCTAAACAAAGCGCCAGTTATTTCTTCATGCAGTGGTACAAAGTACAGAGGGGGTATGTCTACACATGAGGAAATTACTCTGGAGTAAACTCACCCTGGGCAGGTGTCTACATGTGCGGGGATGAAGAAGCAGATTTGCTGCTCCTGGCAGCAGTTTGCTCCTGCCCATTCCGGCCCTGCCCTGGCCCCTGTGGCAGCCAGGGGGAGCTCTAGGGGCTGGCATGGAGCATAGGGCCAGGAGACAGCTGTCTTCTAGCAGGGGCTGGGAGATTGCCTCCTACCCCCAGGAGCTGCCTGCTGCAAGGAAGGGGACAATGCCATCTCCCATCTCTCCAACTGCAGCTGATTCCAAGCCCTGCACCTCAATCGCCTGATCAGGACACAGGGCTAGGATCTGGCCCTGACCAGGACAGTTCCCAGCCAGCCTCAGGCTGTGTGGGAAAGTCTGCATGTGCAGCCTGGGGCCTGCCCTAGCCACCTCCAGGCTGCATGCACAGACCTCCCCGTGCAACCCACAAACTGTCCCAGTCAGGGATGGGTCCCAGCCTGCAGGGAGTTCCCAGCCCTCATTCCACGACTGTGATCGTGGAGCTGAGGCTGGTAACAAACTCCCAGCCTGTTCCCAGCCCCAGCTCCATGATCGCAGAGTGGGGGCAGCTCCCAGTCAGGGAGAAACCTCCTGCCCCCTGCTACCCACCTGACTGGGAGCAATTTCGCTCCCGATCAACTGTCTACACCTGCTGCAATGTGCAGTAACTTGAATTTACAGGTAGCAAATTTACTCGCGATTGAGCACATTACTGTGCAGTAAGCATCTGCACGTATACATGTTGGCGCTTACTACGCAGTAATTTGCACTAATTTCGAGTAAAGCGTCTTGTGTAGATGTGTCCAGGGTCAAGGGGTAAAAGAAACTATATAAGATAGTGTTCTGCAGGCATGTTTTTATACCTAAAGCTTAACTTTTTATCCATACCCCATGAAGGTCTCATACATGCCATGTCCGAGTTGGAAGAAAAAGCGTCTACCGCTTGCTCTCTTTGGGCAAATCTCCCCAGCCTGTCAGCCTCTGTTAGCTGAGCCAAACTCCCCCCTTGGTAATGCCTGAAACTTCTGGTCTTCTCTAAACTGTAGTTTAGCCTTGGAAAGGACTCTACATTCTATGGCAGGGGTAGGCAATTATTTTGGGTAGAGGACCGCTTACTGAGTTTTGGCAAGCCATCAAGGGCTGCACGACAGGCAGCCTAGGGCTGATAAATATTAATTTTCTAAATTCTTTAGGGGCCCTGCGAGCCAGATAGAATAGCCTGGCGGGCCGCATCTGGCCCCCGGGCCACATTTTGCCCACCCCTGTTTTAGGGTGACTGGAGCCAACCACTCCTTCAAAGCTGCTTATACAAGGATTATCTGTGTCATCGTTTTACCTTTCCCTCTCAGTTCTTAATAACCATTTCACAGCACCCTTGCATTTACCCCTACTATCCAGACACATGGCAATTAAAAACTCAACAAGGAAACACAGAGTTGCGTATAACAGATAACTAATTTCATAAGATAGTAGAGATTGCCATATTTACTGCAATAATATACATTACTTAAGTATTCCGATTGAGTGTGTGTGTGTGTGTGTGTGTGTGTGTGCGCGCGCGCGCATGTAGTAGTAGTAGTTGAACACCAACACTTTTGCAGTCAAATCAATATTTGGGATTCCTAACTGATTTCTGAATGCCAAAAGACTATTTTTCACCCTATCCACAGGAAAAAAGCAGGCCAACTTCTTAAATCATCAGAGATCTACCATAACCCTAGTATGTAACACCAACAAACATGAATGCTGGGTTCTAGGAGAGCCTCTAATCTTGTTTTAAGCAGCCATTAATTATCTCCAATATTCTTTTTTAGAGTAGAAGAGGCCCATACCACCTGAAGAAAAATGGGATTTCTCTGAAAGTTTGGCCAAAAAAGCTGCTCCCCCATCCAGTTAACACAGCATTTAATTTATGTGGAACTTTCCCGATTAAAAAAAAAAAGTTTATCTTGTACATGAATAACTTAAACAGCTAACCAGGTAGAAACTGAACACCAATGAACTATCTTCAAAAATCAAAATTCAAAAGGTAAACTGCAACCATTTTGTTCTGTGTCTACATTAATATAAGGGTAAGTTTGGAGCTGTTATTCCACAAAAAAGTACTCTAGATGTAACTGTTTTCCACTTTACAGAACTGTAGCAAAATTAGTACTTGTTTATCTTCAACCTTCTTCCCTTTCTTTCTTTTCTTAGAGATGGTTAAATGTTAAATACTTGCATAGATGATATGAAAGTTAACCATACAAATTTGGAAATGTAGACGTTAGCATTCCTACAGAATCATTATCTCTGTCACATTTCATACTTGCAGCTTTTCGCAGTCTTGTTTTCTAGTGAAAGCTGTTTTGTAAGATGTGCATCATTGGTGAAATTCATCCAGGGGCAGAAAGCTGGCATAAGATCTTCAGACCATGTAAGTCCTGCATGGCATAAATTGTGTGTCACACGGAGGCCTCTGTTCTGGCCCACATGGGCAATTAGGGACTGGGTTAAAGAGGATGTCTTGGAGGAACAGTTAGGTGGATCCAGAGATTAACAGCCCATTTCAATGATACAGAAAGTCAGCAGATGCTATTCCAGCTCATAAGCCATGGAGTCCTGTCAAAATGATCCTAGACTTAGAGGGGATGGATTTTGCTTCCCTACAGTTTTCAATATGCGCCATGTGGCTGTCTTTTCTTTCCTGTAGAAAATTTGCCTTTGGATTTACTGCCTTCTGCACAGCTTAACTGCAACCTTTATGTTGCCTTTAATAAGCCAGGTCTCAGAGTCTGTTTTTAGTCCTCACTATTGGCTCAAAGGAATGCTGTCAAAGCAGTGTCAAATTTGCACCAGAAGCATGAGTAATCCAAGAGGGATTCGAGATTCTGTGGAAAGTGTGGTGATGATCATGCCAAGACACATGCATCATTCTTGCAGTTTGTAAGCTCTAAACTCCTCATCGTTCAATGTGGGACAAAGGCAAAAAGTTTTGTAACTCACCTCGTAATGTTTTCATATGCTGAACAGCCATCCTTAGTACAGTAAGTTTATCTAGTTTTCGGGACATAGCATTGCAAGTTGGTACCAAAGATGCCAACTCATCAATAAAACTGTTCATTTTATCTCGACGTCTCTTTTCAATTTGACTATGAGCTTCCCTA